ATATCAATTGTTAGTCAAGTTTTAGAGCAAACATTAAAAGGATACATTCAATGATTGTGCCATCACCACGCAAATATAAATATTTGCTTAATACAACGGTTGAATTAAATGATAGGACTGTAGACATTTGGAGAGGCATTTAACTCCGGAGCTCAATTGCTAATCATTTTCCCATTTGCTACTGGAAAAATCAGAGGTAGAGGAAAAAATGCTACTTAAAACACTAGTCAAAATTGATTTCTCAGGAATTACTGAGTGTCCCTAGGATAAATAAATTTAGGAACTAATGAGGTTCCATCAACTGAGGATCCTGAAAGAACTTCGATCCAAATAGTCCTTGATCTGGCTCAGTTCATCCTTTGGTGTATTGATCCTTAGAATGAGAGCAGTTCTGAATAGTTGCTGATAAAAGTCTATCTGCCCCTAACAGAAATGCAAATGCTTGTTAATAATGATCATTATCCCAGACCTCAGTTTAAATTTTTCCATTACATTTCAGGACTCAGGGCTCAGACCCCTCAGCTTCTATGAGGTTTGGAAAACTATCACTGGAGCCAACTCTGGAGCCCATAGCAAGTCCTTAACTCCCAGTGAAGTCATTGCAATCTCCGGCCCCTCGTTTCATTTTACACCAGGATGCCACCCAAATTTGTGATAAAAATGCACCCAAGGCTAAGAACTTGTTTCACTTGGGTCTACCAAAGGATAAAAGGTTCTCTATGCCACCTCCTAAGACAAACACCCTTCCCCAGACCAACCCCTCCCTCAACACCACCCTTTAATTGACTAGTTGGCAGTTCTGTGGGTGTGCCTACAGGGCTTTGTACCAGGTGTAAGACTTAATTGGAAACACCTTCCTGATTTCTGAGTGTCCTAACAAGCAGGAAGGCTGCCTATACAGTAGACCGAAACTTGATTTAGACCGGGATGAGGTCCTGGGGCCTCGTCATAAATTAATATTCTGCTTGGGGAGGATGGTCGATGATCTCTATGAGTTCTATAACTCTACATTTGTGTCACCAGAAATTGAACGGAATTGCCCCTGTTGGAGAAGGGGCAAAGTTTTTATTAACCGAAAGTTTCAGTGCAATAACGAAAACAGTGCCGTCTTGGGAATTGCTTGTAAATCGTCCAAACAGATCTACACTCACTCTGCAGTAAGGTGCATGTGCAAACGCAGGGTAATTTCAGACTCCAGTACAACTGCATCAATGCATGAAAGCCTCTACGGTAAATTGTTCTGTGCTTGTTTGTGAAGCAAGTTCACCATTTTTTCTGAGCGCCTCTCAAATTTAGAAACTTCTCTAATTTCTAAAGATCAAACTGAAAGGAAGCTCTTTCCAAAATTACTCTGTAATTTACGCAGGCCTGAGAAACCTGGTTTCTTCAAGTAACTAACTCATCCACCAAGAAGTATTCATCACAACCAGAAAAATCAAACAGTGCATCTTAAAGTTAAAAACTCATATATCTGTGATGCTATATAATACTCATATATTTGTGATGCTATGTAATATGAGGAAGCTTCAAAGGCAAACTAAACAATGGTAAAAGGAAACTAAACAATAATGACTTTTTCCCATGGACTTTTTGCTTTCAATAACCCCACATATTTTGCTTTCAATAACCACCTTTCTAATGTTTGTGAAAGCTACTGCTTTCTAAATGGCAAAATAGGTTTCCCTTCTAAAGAGTATGACTGCGATTAGAATTAAAAATAAGACCAACATGTTGGACACTAAATCCATTTGAACTATGGGCTATAGTCCACACCTTCCTAACAAGTCTGAATGACAAGTCTTTTTTTCAAATGACTGCGGAGGTTCAGATTTTTAGCACTCTAGTTTAAATGTAGTGGTAAAGCTTCCATTAGTTTGATTTCCAAGGAAAGGCCCCCACTGGCGGTTGCAACCACGGTCTCAAACATAGCAGTGTGAGGACGGCACAGGCCCGGCGGTGTTTCCTTCTGCTGCTACCAGTCCAAAGCGACTCGGTGGCACTCTGCACAGAAGGAAAGGACTCTCCTTCTCAACGCCTAATGAGAGTCCTAATGAGAAACTGAAAGAAACCTTTCTAAGCCGAAAATCACTGCATGCACAAGAAGAAAGGGCCTGTTAAGATCAAGGTTAAAGTGTCTAACAATAAATTACTGTCAGGTGTTTATTCTGCCTGATGCAAAGCGTTCCCATCTCTCAGTTTACGTGAGCGCATGCTCTTCCGCCTGAGGAGATTCCTATCATAAACTGACATTTGGATTACTAAATCTAAACAACATGTACTACTTAATTATGCTGAGGATTTTTAAGGGCCGTAGCTTTCTTTCTATCCCAGCTTTATGTACTTAATGTGCACCGTGGTTTTTTGTTTTGTTTTGCTTTCTATGTGAGTGTTCATGCTTCCTCATGACAGAGATCACCCCTGCTACAGTCACTTAAACCTGAAATCGGCAATCCAAAGCACGAGAAGTTCAGGAACATAATTCCAATTTATACCCTTCACTTGATTTAATCTTTTTGCGTATTAGTTCCACCAAGAGTGCTAAATATTTATCTCTTGCCAGCAAACAAATTACAGTTACATTATGGGTGTCGGCAACTTAAAGCTATTGGGGGTTTCTTTTCTTTTTTTTAATATCAAATTCATTTGATCTACCTTTTTTTATTCTAAACCTAACTGCTAAAAAGCAAATGACTTTGAAAGTGTATTTGCAAAGCCCTTGAGAAGTCACTAATGGGATTCCCATGATCTAATACATGTAAGGCTTTAACTGTAACTGTAAACCCACTGAAGGCTTATGATCTGAAAGTATGGAATATTGTAGCCAGTTTTTATGGGTTTCATTCCACTGGCAAATCCTGGTCTCTATATTTTAAATCTCAACTAGAGCAAAATCGCAGCATGTTTTCAAAAGAGCCATCTAGAGCAACAAGTACGGGAATGAGTGGGCAAGAAACCCATTGCCAGCCACCACCCGCTTCCATGAACCACTAATGTACTTTTGAAAGCACAAACGCAAACAAACCTACAGCCCGTGATATATGTGCGGTTCACTTTTAACATTCACAGAACTATACACGAATCACTTCAGTTCTCTTAGACTTATTTCCCACACACGGTTCAATAAAACACAGCACTTACTCAACCTCAACTGATGACTGGATCCCTGTTTTCGACAGCTATTTATTACTCTTGTTCTGGCATGGTTCCCCCATGATCCAACTCTGTGACTGCTGTAAGCCAGGAAAAGCTGCTTCAAGTCAATGCATGGAACAAACTCAAGGAAAGTTCTGCCAGCAGTGAACTGCACCTAGGTACTTAGGTGAAGGTCTGTTTTGTCCCAGGAATCCCCCCAAATGCAGTGTCCTAGCTGCTAAGACTTAGCAGGATGCGCTAAGATGTGGGATTGAAAGAAACTCTCTCTTTGTGTTGGAATCCACTCAGTGTCAGTGAGTTTAGTTGGGTGGGAATCTACCAAGTCAGACTACCATAGCTCCCCCCTCCACCCCCCACCCCTGCCCCTCAGAGGGGCTAGTGGGTTCAGAACGTCAAGTTTGTGGTTAGCAGGCCAGCATGGCGTCACAGGCCACCGGCACTCCTTCTAACGCACACGCAAGCATAAAACTATCATTATCGATGATCTCTGTCTTGTTTCCTATTTGTTTCTAGTTTCATGTATTTCTTATTTTTCAATTCAATATTGTAAGTTCTGCTATGAGGTATCAAGTCAAATTCCACCCTAAGGACCCATTTTATTTTGAAAAGGTGTAATTAAATATAATATTCACTTCTTAGTTACACATATTTAGGAGCAACTTGTGAAAAACAACAACACCTTACTGATTGCCCAATGTGGACTATCAATGGAACCAACAGAAAATACATGTAATCCAGGCACAGCACACTAGCAGCATTTGGTCTGGATGTTCCCAAAAATGTCTTTCAAAAACTGATGGTTCTTCACTTGACTTTTTCACTGTAAGAATAATTGAATCCCAAATGCATAACAGGCCACCCATCCATGCAGCGAACACTCTCACGGGCTTTTTTGGCTTGAAAGTACAAAGGTTGTAGCTTTGCTTGAAAACACAGTGAATAACTTTGCTGAGCTTTGGCTTTCCTGTTTTATTATTTATTCTTTTTATTTTTTATTTTTTTTATTATTATTTATTCTTTACGCGTATGTTTCTGCAGTCTAAGTACGCAAAATGCCAAGACACTGAAATGTGCAGTTTCGTGGAATATGCTCAAAGTTTCTGAAACACCTTTGAGTTTATGTTCTACACAGAACTCTTCCACTTTTCCCAGTATTTTTCTGTATTAAGTCCAATTGGTCTTAGCTCTTGCGAAGAGAGGAAAACAAAGATAAGAGATGCTTTTATGGTTATCATCCTTTTTTAATCGTTCAAAACAAATGGGAGTTGCACCACTCCTTAGAACTGCTTCAAAGTATGGTCGTTTTCTGTCACATTCAGTGAATCCTGGGCGACTGGTGAGAACCTTAGAAGACTAACTGACTACTTGTAAAATCCCCAGGGGAGATAACAGGAGGTTGGACTTGTTAAGTCAACAAGTCAACATCAGAAACAGGCCACCAAGCTCAAGTTGAAAGCAGCAATACAACTTCCTGAAACGATGACTTAGGCGTTGAAACTAACGCAAAGGTCTGAACTTTCTGATCGAAAAGCCACAGCGATGACGACGGGAAGGAGGAAATGTTCTCCTCTGAGCAGGGTGTTCAGGCATGCAGGAGCGGCCCACTGCTAGGGCACGCTGTGTTCACCTGGTTTTCAAGCACAGTAACTTCCCTGGTCCTCTGCGGCAGGGCGCAGGCCCCCTCCCAGTGCGCACCACAGGGCGGCCGAGTCCCCTTGCAGGGGACCAGAGGAAGAATCCCCCGGGCCCCTTCCCCTTGCCCTGTCCTGGGAGGGCAGAGGCAGTTCAGCGACCGGCCTTGGCAGGAAAACTCCCGCGCCCCGCTCCCCCTCCAGCGGCCGTCTTACCTGTGCAGGAATGCAGGGGCTTGGGTCGCACCACCAACGACGGGCACACGGAGTAGAGGGAAAGTTTTTCAAAGTAGTCGCAGGTCTCCTTGGAGAGAATCTCGTCGATCATGAAGGTCTTGTAGCGCCTCCTGGCTGCTTTGAGTTGGCCGGGCGAGCTCAGCCGGAGCTCGGCGTGGCAGTGCATGGTGAGCGGCCCGGCTTGGCTGTTCGTGGGCAAGCGCCGGGAGCGGCGCAGGCTCGGGAGGCGCGCGGAAGGGGCCGTGCCCGGATCGCGTCGTCCGCGGTCTATACCCACCCCAACCACGGTCTCAAACATAGCAGTGTGAGGACGG